TCAACTGGGACCTCCCCAGTTAGCCAGCACTGCTGATAAAGGATTGAAAGTGGCTTGGTGAGCACTTCTGCCAGCTCCCTCAGTACCCTTGGGTGGATCCCATCTGGCCCCATAGACTTGTGTGTGTCTATGTGATATAGCAGGTTGCTAACCAAAATGGCTGCCTGATGTTATATTCCTAAAACCTTATTTAAGCTTTAAAGCTTTAAGAGGTTGGCTAGAGGCAGACATCTTGTGTGGCATCCCCAGATGTTCTAAAACTATTCATAGTTATTTTCTGACCACAAGCATTGGTTTGAAACAAGTGTATATGCACTTCCTGGGGCCTCAGAAAACCCAGCACGGGCCATAGAACGAGGTTGCTCTGCTATGAGCATGCTCGTGTGTGTCTGGGAGAGTTGTATCAGGCTAGCTGCACTGCATCATTAGGGGCTGATAATTTTCTTGCCCAAGGTCACTCTTTTTGTGTGCTTGGACATGAGGAAAAGGTAATATCTCCTCAGGAGAGCATGTTCCTGCTTAGGGGAGGCCCCAGATATCCTCCCCTGGGGCAGCTGTTAGGAAGCATAACACTAGAGTTTCTAACTCTCCAAGAAGATGGCTTTTATCTTCCTAACAACAGGGGGTTCTGGTGGGCTTTGGCCCTTCCACACCTTTTTTCTACTGTTGGAATGGTCTCTGGTCTCATTTTCCATCCCCCTGTGGTGGGTCACAGAACTGCCTCAGCTCACTCTTGCACTTGGTCGCTCATTGGGCTGGGGTGTCTCCTCATGCTGCCACTCTTCCAGCACCCCTAGCTTCTTGAGCCCTGGTGGAGTCTAGATGCATCAGGACGAGACCCTAGGCAGACCCTCTGGCTAGCACATCACAGAGGACAGGACCTCGCACCAGCTTCCCATCGCCTGTGTCTGCCACTGATGACCTGAGTTCACCATGGCTTAAAGCACATCTTTTCCTGATGTCAACCAGTTAAGCTGTAAATCTTCTGGCTTACCATTTAACTCTTCAGGATCTTGCATGGGTGCAAACAGACACACAGATATAGCAAGGCACTTCATAAGATTTTCGAAGGCACCTTTGTTTTTCACTTTACAGCTCAAGAGTTGCACAGATCTGTACAAAACCAACTAACCCTCCTTGCACTTAACTGCCTCGGTTTTCTGATTATCTTGCAGAGTCCCTTCAGTCGACTGTAAGCCCACGGTTTGTCTTTCTTGATTTTGGTGGATCCCATTGCTAAATCATCCACCCTCACTTCACTGGGACATTCTGCCTGCTTGTCCTTTCTTACTCAAAGTTGGGAATCTTTTCTGATGTCTTTTTCTTTGGTGGTTGGGAACTTTCTGTCTCCAGCCTTCTGACTGGAAATAAGATAAAAATGGGGTTTCTTGAGCAAGAAACACCTGTTGTTGAGACAGTTTTTATCCTAGTAGATCACTGTTCTCATCTACCCATTTGTAATTTTCTCTAGTCTAGTTCTATATGTTCAAAATTCCAACATATTCAAAATAACAGCAATTCAAAAATAGCCTCATTCCAAGGTATCTGTCAGAAGCCGCCTGTTCCTTCCCTGTTATCCTTTCCCTCTTACCCTTCATTCTCTTATCTTCCACTCACCCTATTAGGCAAAGCAAGTACACTAGGGCCAATCTCACAGAGCAATGGCATGAGGAAGGTGGATGGAGAAGACACTAAGTTTGCTGGTAGCTGGGAGGAAAGAGGGAATTTCATTATCAGATGTGATTTGATGACAAGAGTTGATGCCAGAAAGAGCAGCTCTATGAGTGAGGGCAGTGAGCTGCACAGATAGACCCCTCAGCAGAAACCTGCCTAGAGATATGGGGTCCCGAGCAATAAGCTAGGAAGCACTTGGTGTTGAGTGAGAACTTGGCATTAATCAGGCAATGTTTACTCTGCAGATGAGATGTAAATATACTAGAAAAACTGGGGGACTTGACTAAAACACAGTGGAACAATGAGAGGGAACATGAGCTAAAGGAGTTTGCAGGTGGACCCCTGCGAGCAGGAGCTGGGGGGCACAGGGGACAGTGCGACCTGTTCAACAGATTGGATGAAGATTAGGACTTATGTGAAGGGAATATAAATTCAGGAGTCACAGTAGGGTTCAAACTAGCACAAGGGTGGCTGTGTGTCTAGGAAAAAGCAATACCCAGACAGTAATATATCACGATATGTGTGAACTACTACCCCCACAATTAAGATGGATCATACGGGCTAAGATTGCATGGCAAACTAATAACAGCATTCAAAAGGCACAGACACTGTTTAACAGTTTATACAGTGAAAAGTCAAAAGAAAAAACTTTACCCCATGCTAAAGGGCCAGCGTGTAAGCTGCCACAACACAGCTTTTGGTAGGGCAATGTCTAATCTTTCTCCTGCAGACTCCTAAAGGCAAAATCTCCAGTGAATTCTGTGGGATGGAGACAACTATGACTCACCAGTGCTACTGAGGGGATATTAATGAAATGCTGTGGTATCGTTGTCCATTATTTTATCAAAACTGAAGTAATTCTCTCACAGTTTTAGTAAGTGAAAGGAAATAAACAGAGGGAGGGGGGTAAGACCATGTCACAACAACTGAGATATTCATGAATATAGTGTCTTGAATATTTATTCTAATAGCAAAAGGAAAAAAACTTTCAACAAAGAATTAAAGAAGCAAAATCCACTTGGTATACGGAAGTCACATACAAATAGAATATCCAATGGAATACACATGGTCTCTACTTCCACATAGAATTAAAACTCTGCACATGGATAAAACTTGTACTTCACGTTCAGACAAGAGCTCCCATGGATATATGCAGAAGATTCACAAAATTTGTCACCCAGCAGCATTTTAAACTAACATATTTTTTAGAACCACAGTCACTATATTGCAGTAATAGTTGGGGGAGGAGGGACAGATTGAGTCTCACCCCCTCACAAATGTATCCTAAGCAAGTACTTCTTTTCTTCAGGAACAATTCAGCAAGTAAGTTAGCTTGAGGGAGCCAGAACAGCTACATATTTTCAAGGTAAGTATTTATCTTTGTGTATGTAATCACATGTCTATGAGGAATAATAAAAATACTAGGTAAAATTATCTGCCGGCCCCTGAACAGTCAGGTCACTTAGGAATAAAAAGTTTAGGTAATGCATCCTCAGTCCTGTAGCAGCCTGCATATCTGTATTTAAGTGGTACCTCATATTATGACTGTTAATTTGTCTGCTGCTCAACTATAAAGATAGCCAGAATTTCCTTTTTTATTAAGCAATACCAAATTTATCTCCAAATACATTTTCATTTCACTCTGGTCTTTATAATTTTGCAGAAGTTTTCATGGCAAAAGGTATAAAACCAGGAAGAATTTTAAGGGCTGCTCAAGTCATTGCAAGTACCTTCCTGTGCTACTTAATGCAATTTGGCTACTTTGCTTTCACAGAGAAACTATTTGATGACATAGGAAAGGAAAACCATGCTACTGGTTTCCAGTAGGCCTTAGAGTTTGATTCTTTGTCTGATCAGGCTAAATTAAAAAAAAATCCAAACCTAAATCAACCTTGTACATTGTCACAAAAATGCATCAGATGATCAAACTAAAAATCTACTTATGTACCTTTTAATGTGTTACTAACGAAAACAACTTGTTATGAAAACTGTTCAGCAAAAACAGTTACTCTCCTTGGCCCAGACTCAGTGGCCCATCTCTATTTAGCAAATTTCCAAGGTGCATGACATGTTCCTTTGAAATCAGAGATGTAGCAAGAATTTGCAGAATGAGCTTCTCCTCTGCAGAGTCCATAGGCACAGCTGGGAACCCATGGCAGATCAGTGATTCAGGGTTTAAAGTCCCAAATGTACCCAAGGGTTTTGCTGAATAACGATGGCCTTGCTTGTGTGCTTAGAGAATTATTAGAAATATGCAAGGATAACTGGAAAGGAAAAAGAAATTATTGGATGTCTCCTTTTACTATCATGGTTAGGTAATGGGCTGAATTTTGTTTCCATTTATACTACAGCTTTACTGCTAACAGTGGAGTTGTTCAACATTGAGGGCCATGTAACAGTTGAGTGAAGAGTCTGAGGAAGCACGTAACAAAAAAATGCCAAAACAATAACACCTCTTAGAGTATTTTCTGTTTTTCACTTTTGTTAGTACAAACCAGTGCAGAGACACGTAAATGTAGCTAAATGTCTCTTAAAACCCACTGTACTAAAAATCTTGAAATCTTTTTTTTTTCTCACAAATACACTAAGAGGAAAACATAAGAGAAAGTATCAGAAAGAGGGCTTTACTATTTTATAACATCAATTCATTAAAAGGTAAATTAATACAGCAGAATAAACCAGTAATTTCAGTCTAAGGCTCTCATGTTTTCCTTAGGATTTCTTACTGTAGTCTCCATGCAGCAAAGACATTGAAATGTCATAGGATTACACAATATTTTCAAATAAAACTAACTTTTAAGGAATGCAGAATGCCAGTTTGGTTTTGGGGAGATCATCTTTTGGTGAAATCTTCATCCTTAGCTTCCACGTGGATTGCCAGTGGCTGCATGTAAAAGTGATTCTGGGGCTGATTTCAAACTCTTCTCCCCTGAGAACTAGGCTGCACCAGTTCTCCTGTTGCAAAGCCACAACCTTGCTCTGACTTAATGTAGAAGTAAATATCCACATGTTCACGTGTTAGGTCTGGGTTAATTAAAAGATTGGTCTGTTAGAATTTATTTCCTTTTAGAAGCAGCTTTGGCTGGATTCCTTTCACTAAACTTTGAGCAATATCTGAGAAATACGGTCTACAGGCTGTATATGTAGTCGGAGAAAGAGATTGAACATCCAGCTCTGCTTACTGCACAGGGAGTACATCGTGGGGTTCCTCAGTTAGATGGGATGGGACTGAATGCACTTGTGTTTTTCCCACTGTAGTATTCCTATTACTAGCTACAGTAACTTCATGTTCTACCACTGCATAATCACTTCTACTCTTTTTGTAGCATTTCTGGAGAAAAAGGTTGATGATAAGCTGAGACAATACTCATTGCAAGGGGAGACTTACCTTCCAGGTGTTCTTGGAGTTCACGTCATCGGTCTTCTCCAGCAACATGAGGGCTTGTGGTCTCATGGTTTGAGGATAAAATATGGACTCCTAGGTACGGTGAAAAAGAGGAAAAGTAAAAGCATTCTGTTTGTCTCATTTTTCTGCAAGTTATTTGCCTGTATGACTAGGACACTTCACAAGAAAGATTTCGGTTGATTTTTAAACTCTGATCTGAGACCTCGGATGAGTTTCTCTTTTCAGTAAAAAAGTAAAAAAGTAAAAAAGTAAAAAATATACTCTGTAAAAAAAAAAAGAAAAAAAAAGAAAAAAAAAGAAAAAAATCTTAAATTGCAAAGATGAACTACATTTACCTCTTCTTAATAAAGAAGACTGGTAGAAATCATTCAAATAATTAAACGAGTTGCCTCTTTAAATGAGACTTGACAAATGATGAACCTTGGAGAATCTGGAGTCAGCATGTACCGAAGAGACTATGCATATGGATTAAATGGTGTAAATCAATACAAGTCACTCCCCTGTTGGCATAAGTGAAGATCTGTTGCTTTACACCCCCGAGGGTTTAATCTGTGAGGATTTACATACTCATGGTCTCACACCGCTAAATCTGTCATCCTAAAGAGGAACTAGGCACATATACTGTGTGTCTGTCTATATGAAACAGGCCAAGGAGGAATCTTTCCTAACAGTCAGTCAGCAGAACAGTAATTTAGTTGATGCCCTTAAGAATGCAAGTAATAAAACTTGCCTCTCACAAACAAATATAGAGAAGAGTAGTTGGGGGGATTTTTTTTGGGGGGGGTGTTTCTTTTGGAATGCAAATCAGCATCATTCATCTGCTATTGAAGAAACAAAGGCATCATCATCATATGTAGAATTTGTACCACCATTTTTTCCCTAAAAATGGCAATTAATTAAACTCAAAGCATTCTCAAAGTTAGGATCAAACTCCAGCAGATTTTGTGCACCCTGAAATAGCACTTCATTCCTAAAATAAAGAAGGTGCATGTGGTATAGCTAAATATACAGAGCTGAGCAAACTGAGAAGAAAACTTAATCTTTCAGACTGATGCTCTGGAAAGGCCACATAGATGTAGTTGCTCAGGTAGTTTTTCTAGGCATTACATTAAGTATAAGCACAAAGGAACAAACAGTTCCAGGTAACAGTCACGTACACAGCTGTTCAGAGAGAGAGAGTATTTTTTGACAGAAAATCAGGCTAGTTCATATGTAATTCAAACACCAATCAAACAGGTCTAAATAAACCCAGCAACAACAACAACAACAAAGTCAGTAATAAGTTAGGTGCGATATAATGATCAGAACACTTGTGAAGATAAACTCTTATCACAATTGAAAACATGCATCTGAAGGTTCAGCCCAGCAGGGCTTGCTAGCTGTTTGGTGGGTTGGTGCCAGGAGGCACCACAGGAGCCAGTCACATCCCATGCTCCCAAGGCATTTTCTGAGCACTAGTTTGATCATGCAGCAAGCAAGACACTGTGAGAGCATGATAAGGCTGTGCATTAGCCATGCACAGGATTAGTCTGATGCTAAAAGCTTTAGTCTAGATCATAACTTGGAAAATGGGTTGTGTAGTATTAGTTCAGCTGGTACTATGGAGCTCAGGACCCTCTGTCCAAAGGCATCTAATCTCTCATAAATTTAATGTGCTCTGTGTGTCAACTGCTGTATCCCACCAAGTGCCCTAAATCTCAGCTGAAGAGGTTATCTGTGGCTGGCCCAATAAGGCTCCATGACATTCAGTCCTATTTCTGTGCTGAGAGTAACAACAAATTAGTGCAAAGTGTGTGAGTACTTTTGCACCAAGAATTGTGATGAGGCTGAAAATAGTTTTGGATTTCCTATCCCAGGTTTCAATTTAATGTTCCAGCCCTCTTCCATCACTAAAATATATCTCTTTTCAGCCTGGTACTTTCTCTTGCCAGAACTGTGCTACAACAGTGGATAGATCAGGGATCTAACCAAATCCTGCTTGTCTCCTCCAACAACTCATAATCAGTGACGAGCCATTGATTGTTTAAATTTTGGCCTTTGATCAAGTTGGGATGGGATTTCCAAAAGTGCTAGCCTAACTCTACTTGCATTTAAGAAAATTGCAATTCTATCAATCACATAAGTCAATAGGAGCTGAACTAGATTGACACAGGCTGCTTTTGGAAATCCTACCCTATGAAACAGGTCAAGGCATAATTTTAAATAGAATGAAAATCCCAATCCTGCTAGTTCCCCCAGAATTCAAACTAAATTTTTAGAATGTTTGGGGAAGGGATAGTAAGCTACTACCCAAAAGCCTTTCTGTCTTTCATGTTTCTCTACAATAACCAGGTTCCAGCTGAGAGAAGTACTGAGATCATGATGCTTCTGATCTAAATCCGACCAAACTTTATAGCAGAAAACTCAATAATCCTGTGAAACACGTGGCTCTGAAAGCCAACCCGTGATGGAAAATCAAAGCCTACTAACAGTAGCTAACCCTGATTGTTCAGAAAAGGTCTACTTGAACTTCCACACATAGGATAAATTGGGTTCAATGGGACATCAGCAGGTCATCCAGCCCAACCTCCTGCTCAAAACAGAGTCAACTAAAAGGTCCAATCAATTTGCTCAGGGCTTTATCCAGTCTGATCTTGAAAACCTCCAAGGATTTGATGTAATCTGACTAGTTCTGAACTCTATGACAATGTCTGAGTGTCAATACAAAGATCCTAGGAGTTTTTAAATCCTGACTGGTTCTGCTGCTGTATTTCAGACGAGTTTTTTCCGTGTAACACATGGCTGGCAGTCTAATGAACAATGTTACTCTGGCAGCTGCTTCTCCTATCCTCCCCATCCCATGCAGATGGTCAGACACGTTGGAGGCCTGGGAGGTTAGTTGTTTCAGAAATGTGAAGGAGAGATTCTCCCTCTTTGATTTTGCTGTCACTCTTCTGCCCAGAGTCTTGATGCAAAATGAAAAGCCATTAATTAATCCTATTTAAGTAAAGAACTATTTATCTATCACTCAATTTGTTTAAAAAAAATATATGCTAATAATGTATTGCCACCACTGATTAGAGTCTACATGGTCGTAAAGAGGCAGGGAGGGTCTGGAATTCATTGCAATGGAGTACAAGCAAGGTGTGGCTGTAGCAAGGGGCATCTTGGGGTCTTTTTTCCTTGTTACAACATGCACAGGAGATGACCATTTTGCAGTTAGCATCCCAGAGCAAAGCTGGGAGAATATTTGCACTTGTAGCTATGCTGCATGATCCAGGATATGCCCAAGCTCATGTAACATGTGACCATGTCTTCCTCTCTCCTTGCCTTGCCTGAGGATGGCTCAGACTAATAATACAGCCTAAACCTTTTCTAAAGGACTGAGGGCTGCAGCTGAGTGCTGTCTCAAGGCTTCCCTGCTCCCTTTTCTCCCGCAGGAATAACTGCACATAACAAGCATAGGGTGGAAAACTGCCCACCATCTCACACAAAGCTTCCTCAGCTTCTTATCACTTCTTTTTCCAAAGCAGCTGGTACCTAGTGGGTGAAGAGGTATCAATGAAAGTCTCTCAGCACAGTTATCAACATGCTACCTTAGATGGGGGAGACAAAATCAGCATCCCTGGAGAGAGACAGGGTTATGGTTGGGGTAGCACATGCCTCTTCCGCCTGGCTGCTCATCGGCCCAAAGAGGACAGTGCTTTCCCTTCATGGAGGTAAACAAGTGAAGGTTCAGCCTCCATGTCTACTAGGAAAACAAGCGCTTAAGGAAGCTAGCTAATAGGACAGACATTTGTTTAAAACCCCACAGTGAAGAAAGAACATTTATTCATTTAAGTTAGGCAGCCAATGTAGCACCCTGATGGCATATCCATTTTACATGTGTCTATATGCCTTGTCTGAAAGTCGTTTTTACTGTGTCAAAGTTTATGTAGGTTATTTAACCAGTAAAAAAGTGTGACCATTTTCTCTTAGTGTGTTTCAGGAGCTTATATAAATTACCTTTGAAAAAAGGTAATGTGCATAGAGGGATTTCTTTGCAGTTGTGAGCAGTTTGCAGTACCTTGTGTTCCTTTTTTAAATTTGTCTTCTAATTTTTCCCATTGCAGACATTTTAAGAAACGTCAGCCTTGTCCTAAATCCTGTCTAATAGGAACAATAAAACAGTTAACGCTTCTTCAATTATGCAATTTAGTTAAAAAAATGTCACTGTGACCCAAGTAAAGCAGTTGTACAAAGTACTCCAGGGCACAGATGCAAGAAACTGCCACCAAGTACTAGAAGAGTACTTTTAAAAACTGTGAAATATGAATATTTTTTAACACTTTATTAAAAAAGAATTTGTGTACTTTATTCTGCTATCTTCACAGCCTTTTGCTGATCTTATGAACGTATTCAGCCTAACTCCAGAAATGTTGACGATTTTTTACTCCTAAAGTTTTTAAAAATCTTGTGAATTTCTAATTGTCTTGTCAAAAAAAGATATCCTCATCGAAGTAAGTAAAATTGAGGTAAAACTCCAGTTCACTGACAACAGCAGCGCTTCTGCAAGAGGTCTGAGTGAAATACAAGTGTTTGTAGCCAGTGTGGTGATGGTTGTCTCAGTGACTGAATGGGAGATGAAATTCCTGAATGCTTAAGTATGCAGGTTTGACAGCAACATGACAAGACAGTTTTTGGCTATGAACTACTGAATGTAATGGATTTGGTTCTGCCAAGGGTAATATCAGAACTGTATGTTTAATATCTCATGCAGGTAGAAATGAAAAGAGCTAGTCAGCCCACAAGTACTGGGGCAGGTACTACTGGGATCTCTGTAATGATCCAGTTTCAGAAAGGTATTAGACAGACATGCAGCTTCCATGGAAATGTAAACATACTAGCTATTCAAACAGGATGCAGTACCTAGTATCTCTGAGGATCTGCACTGAACACCCACATCAGTTGGAAACTCACAGGGAAGTTCAGTAGCTTTGGGTCCAGGAAGGCTGGAGGTTTTTCCTTTCTAACTTCTGTAATTTCCAAGCAGCCATGATGTGTAACATAGTGAGCGTAGATTTGCCAAGGCAATACACTCCAGGAAGTGTCCCTTATACAAATGATCTGGACAGAATGAGCGATTGGCTCACTAGAGCAATATTTCTAAATTGATTTTTAGTCAGCAGAAAATATAAGTGACATCAGGAAGCTTATTCTAAAACACCTTGGCCACTACCCTAAGGTTTCAACTATATAATTTGAAACCCATGAAGCAAGAGTCAATTCTAGGCAAATGTGGTCTGAGGACATGGCACCAGCTGAAGTAAGTGTAATGTAAAGCAGTAAAAAGAAAAGAGAAACTAATAGCCATCCTGCATGCAAAAGCCAGATGCAAAAAAATGGATCGTCCTTTCAAACTAATAACATCTCCATCTCCATACACATACTCAACCAGCTGCTGATGTAGAATAAAAGACTTTTCTCCCAAATAAATTAATAAGACAGTATAAATAAAGGCATATAGACCATTCATAAATACTCTGTTGGCAACGGAACACACTGGAGCTGCCTTTGTTGATAGTTGCATTAACAGCCGCAGTTGGGCTGCTGTGGAGGAGGGGTGTCCTTTAGCCGTGTGTTCTGCTTGCTGGCAGCAATGGTGGGATCTATCTCCAGACTTTCTGACATTTTGTCACAGATGATATCCACGAGTCGCTCAAATGTCTGCTTGACGTTAATGTTGTCCTTGGCACTTGTTTCAAAAAATTCAAATCCTAAGAAAATAAACAACACATTTATGTTTGATGCATATCCAACATCTCCAATAAATATACAAACTTCTCTTGGGCAAGGAAGAGTGGAGAGACACACAGAAAGGAAATACATGAGAGCACAAATATAAAAGAGTGATATTGCAAGAGCAGTTAAAATTGTAACAAAATCAGAGTAACTACATTAGTGTTATTTGCTTTATACCAAGCCATATGAAATCAGGACTGGCCCAAATACATTCCCTTAAACAAATTCTACTTTAAAACAGTTTAATCTAAAAAGTGATGCCAGTTTGAGAGTGCTATTATTTTAGAAATGCCCTATATAACCAGTCATTGTGAAGGAATAATCTACTGCTCCATCTCTAACTATTATGTTCCTCTGAGCATTATTCAGCTGGAAACAGCCACTTCCATCATGACATTAACCTGGTGCCAAAATAGACAACTGTGTTTGGAAGTAATCAGGAAAAAAACAAGCAAGGCAAGAAAAGATTTCTGCAATTCGATATCTATTTAAGATAGAGGTAAATCCATGAGAACAAAGGGGCCCCCAACCCCCCAAACCAAACTAATAAACAAATACACAAACGCACATATTTTTCTTCCTTAATTAATTTATATAGAAGGACTTTTTATCTATCCATTCCCAATGACTACCCCAAAGGCAAAAATTACAGCTATCCTTAACCCAGAAGGGACACTGGAAGCCTTTATGGAGAAGATCCAGCTTTCCTAAGCTCTCTTCTCTGCCCCCATTTGTCCTACATCTTATCTCCCACATCTGCCTCCTCCATCTGGGCCAGGTTTGCAATTTGCTGGTCAGTCTACAATCCAGCAGGCTTCTGCCAGCTCTGGGTCTTCCCATGTTCTTACTTCCTTTGCAATTCCTTTGTCTTTTTCATTCGTTTGTTTTCTAAGCCTTTTCTGACATGCTCCATCTTTTCCCACAGTTACCACATTGCTCACCTGAGGGTTCATTGGTAATTTAAAACTTTCTCCTACTTCTGTCTTTCCACTGCCCAAAGGTTCAATATTAAGACAGTTTACAAAATGTCTAATCCACTGGTAATTTTACAGAAGTGGCTTAAACTTTGCAGAACTATTTTGATTCTTTCTGATTAACTCTGAATAACAATATGCAACTACCACTGTGTTTAATTATGAGGAAAATCCCAGTAAGAAAATGTCAGTCACTTGAAACTCTTGGCAGAAGGGAAGAAAAAAGCTCTTTTTTTTTTTTTTTAAATGTTATGTGCATTTTCTAGTGAACGGGCTAATCTTCTATTTCCAAAGGCCGCTTGAAATTTAAATGCAACTACTTTGATAACATTAGCACTATATATTCAATATGCCATCTAAACAAGATGTAATGTGCACATTCAGTCCTATAACTGCTTACCATGTAGCTTTCGCATGTTTGAGTACTAGCCTAGACTTACAGCAGATAATTATATTTAGCTTGGTATGATATCCCAGCATGTGCTAATAACCAATGCAAAAACTTAATGCTGTATTCTGAATTTTCTTCATATTTTTAATTTACATAAGGTGCCTTGTGTTGAAATAGCACAAAGTGCTAAATTGTTTAAATGCATAGGAGCTAAACACAGGCCAAAGTTAGTGTTCATAGGTAGTTTATACAATAAGAGATATAAACATTGTACAGGGATTTAGTCATACAACTTCTGTTAATATCAGCAAGAAGTGTGAGGATAACCTCACAGGTATGAGTATACATTGGTGTGAAAACTTTTCCTTTCCACATTTCTCTGGAAAGCAGGAAAACCATGCATAATAAAAGACCATATACAGAAATCATATACTGGGAGGCGGTTTGAATCTATATGTCATTGTTTTAGTTTAGCTTTGCTTACACGTCTCCTTTGTTGTAAACTAGAAGGAAAATAGGGAAAGCCAGTGTAGCTTCACTTGCTGGTGGCTTCAGCGCTCCCGCAGAGCTCCATGCAGGAGAAGACTGTTCAGATCTCTTGGGGAGGGCTTGGGGGAAGGAAGATCCTCCACATTTTCAGTGCTCTGTGTTGAAACCCAGCTGCAACCCTGTAGCACAGCAACACAGTCAGATTCTTCCACAACTGTTAGCGTCTGCTCCACAGGAAGCAGAAGGAAAGCTTCTGTTCCAAAGAGGAACAAGCAGGACCAGAGGGCAGAAGGTTTGAGGGACAATGAGGGGATGACTGAGAATTGGAACACCAAAGCCTTGGAGAAGATGACAGGAAGAAGAATGAATCTTAAGGACATTTTGGAGAGGAGCAGTTTTTAAAGATAAGAAGACAGAATAACTGGCACATGAGATGATCATGAAATGGCACATATGACAGGTACGTAAGAGATCTGGACAGAGAAAAGCAGAAAGTGAAAGGAAAAAAGTCACAAAAAAGAGAGGAGACCGATGTCAGGAAATACTGTAACATGGACAGGATCAAGAAAACAGGTCCACTACCACGGTGAGGATGTTCTGCATAAGAACACCATGAAAAACTGAGGCACCCATTTTCCAGGTAAAATAGTGTGCTGGCTTTGGCTGGGATAGAGTTAATTTTCTTCATAGTAGCTATTATGGGGCTATGTTTTGAATTTGTGCTGGAAACAGTGTTGATAATACAGGGATGGTTTCGTTATTGCTGAGCAGTGCTTACACAGTCAAGGCATTTTCTACTTCTCACACCACCCCACCATTGAGTAGGCTGGGGGTGGGCAAGAAGTTGGGAGGGGACACAGCTGGGACAGCTGACCCCAACTGACCAAAGGGATATTCCATACCATATGACGTCATGCTCAGTATATAAAGCTGGGGGAAGAAGAAGGAAGGGGGGGACGTTCAGAGTGATGGCGTTTGTCTTCCCAAGTAACTGTTACATGTGATGGAGCCCTGCTTTCCTGGGGATGGCTGAACACCTGCCTGCCGATGGGAAATAGTGAATGAATTCCTTGTTTTGCTTTGCTTGTGCGCATGGCTTTTGCTTTACCTATTAAACTGTCTTTATCTCAACCCATGAGTTTTCTTGCTTTTACTCTTCTGATTCTCTTCCCCATCCCACCGGGGAGAAGTGAGTGAGCATGTGTGATGCTTAGCTGCCTACTGGGGCTAAACCAATATGAAAGTATATCCTGCAACTGCAGCTATGGTAGCAGATCTGGCTATGCTGTGCTGTGCTTTGTAGACCAGCTGGATGGGACCTGTGCTGTCCAAACAAGCCCAAGGACTAGACTACGTTAAGAAAAGTATTAAAACAACATTAAGCCCAAAACAGGGCTTTGCTATAATTATCTCAGCAAAGAGCAGTGCTTTATCACTATTCTGGATAGAGCTAATATAAACATTGTTAACAGAAATGCTAAGATATTTATCCATCCTTTAGGGTGGCCAAATTAAAAATTAAAAAAAAAGCTAAAGGGGGACTCTCAGCTGTGACAGAACAGACAGACACGAGGGGCAGTTACTAGTAACGTGCTAGAAAACACCTTCTTTTCCAGTCTTTCAGAACAGAAGGTTTCCATATAAATTCCAGTTGTACTGATTTTGTTTGTGGCTTCCAGATACCTTTTGAAAGAGTGCATTTAGTGAATAAATTAGAGTCCTGTCAAAGAAATTTTTGTTTGTTTGTTTGTTTACATGAGACATTTGGTGAGCAAAAACAATCCCTTGCTTCTCATTGTCATTAAGTAACTTTCTTGTAACATAGCTCCAAGTGCATGAAAGCAATGGCAGGTTGGCATTTCTCCCCTGTAAAAAAACATCCTGGGGACAGGAGCCTTTAATTGGTCTGCCAATACCCTGCGTGCGTTGTAACTAAACAGAAGACTGGTGTTTGTCAGTGCTGTTAGTCTGTCTCTTTCCTCTGGCACTAACCTTTGCTCTTTAAAAA